GGAAATATTCCCGAATGATATACTCAAGTCCCTTTCCATCACCCTGCCAAGTATCCCTGGAACCCTAGATTGTTCAAACCAGCCAACAATTAGTCTAATCAGTCACATCCTTAAAATCCATGCCTGCATATACGCATGAATGTACATTCGGATGTTTGCTTATTATCTTACACATATTAGCCAAAGTAAACATGAAAAATGAATGAAGAAAAAGAAAGACGATGAGTACATACCGTGAGTGGTATTCCGCCCAGAATGTTGTCCGGCATTGTTGAGTAGGCCACAAGCATGTCCACGAAGGGCTGTGTTTGAGAAATGTTTCGCGCACCATCGGGTATGTCAAGCATGTTATTCCTGAGCAGATGGCTGCCAATAGAAAAGTGATCCCCTTGTCTGCCAATTTTCTCGTTGTGATAAACTGCAAGTATGTCAATATGTTAGGTGTTACTGAAAGTTTGGTTTCCTGTGCAATGTTTTCACTGAAAGTGTTGATCTTATTATGAGTATATACTGTCTAATCACAAGATTCCTAAATCAAAATGTTCCTAATTTTTCAAAGATCTGATCTAAATCATGTTTTCTATATATCATTTTTATGCTGATTGCTTCATAATGATACACCCGTTAATCGATATATGTATAAGGAATTCCATGTCACTTCATCAAGCCTTACCTTCAGGTTTGAACCTCTTGGTACCTAGGCATGAGACCATGAAGAATACTTTTGGCTTCAGCTGGAAAGACTCTATGTTGGAGAACATCTTAAGAAACTCTTTTCTTTCAATGGTATTCCCGTCAGCGAACTCCATGGACTCCTCATCCCCATGAGCCATGAACCAGCAAGTGAAGGAGCTGTAGAACCGGTATTTAGGCTTCATCAACTCATTTTTAAAGCTTTCAATGGTCTCCTTCGTTGGATCCAATGCCTTGTGCGATATCATGCCTAGATGCTTGGAGATAGCTAGCACGTTATCAGTTTCTTTGTTGGCTCCATCCCGGTTCTTGTGGACAGACAGTATGAGGCAGAAGCCAAAGGGATAGCACTCCACTGGGTAGCAACGCAGGCACTCTATAATAGAATCAAGTGTGTTCCCCTCTTCGCAAGCAGAGTTTTGCTCACATTGTGCTATGAAACGCTCCAATCTGTTTGTACTAACTCTGTTGATGATGTTTAGCATTTGCAAATGACGAACTATGAAGAAGAATAGGCACTCTTTCATCCCTTTTGGGTTTAGATCGACGAAGAAGCCAATAACATCTATGTTATTCATACCTTTTACTAGAAAGGAATCTCTTCTCAGAGCTGTCCAAATCTGAGCCACTCCTGTTGGCTTCAGAGAGTTACAGACCTTTTCTAGCACAATGTCGGCAGAATCCAGTAGGAGGCGGTAGTCTCGCTCTTCACCCTCCATTTCAAATTTATCTTGTATAGAAGATACCTTCTCCAAACTAAGAAAAGATGGAACAACATCCAAATATTTGCAGGCGGAGAAGAAGCTCAGATATTCATAATCTGTCTCTGAGATTGTTTCTTCGGTCGCATTGTGATGATAAAAAGTCGTTGCCTTCTTCTCTAGGGACTCATCTATTTTGCTGAGATTTTTAAAGGCGACAGCACTGGCCAGCGGAAATTGGATCTCCTCGACCTCCTGGCGACTTCTCGTAGAACTAGGAGCATTGGCATGAGTGGAGAAGAAAAACAGCTTTGCCTTCTTCACAGGCGAGATGCCTGATAGCCAGTCTTTCGCCTGGATTGTGATGTCCATGTTGCTTCCTGTTGAAAACGGGAAATTGTACCATGTTAATATGATTATTGCATAAATGAAGCTTTTGGTAATAGAATGTAAAGATTGTAAAACATATTCCCATGACTGTTCCCTTTGCTTGAAATATCCTTCCACAAATTGCACCATTTTATATATTTTTTTGTTATTATTTTCGTAATCACCAAAAGAATGTGTGGAGTATAACCAGATCTAAATAAAACTACAAGGAAAGATGATCATGAAAGTAATAACAGCATGGACTAAAGTGATAATTGCATATTAGATAGAGTGTATATTGGATGTACTGTAGGTGAATACCTATGAATCAAATGTTTGTCAGTTCATGAATATATATATATATATATATATATATATATATATATATATATATATATATATGTAAATAAATAAATAAATAAATATATATATATATATATATATATATATATATATATATATATACTTGTATATTTAAAATACTTATATACATATATGTCTGCATATATTTGTATATATATTATATATATATATATATATATATATATATATATATATATATATATGTATATATATATATGTATATATATGTATATTATATATGTACATCTATATATATATATATATATATATATATATATATATATATATATATATATATATATATATATATATATATATATATATATATATATATATATATATATATATATACTTGTATATTTAAAATACTTATATACATATATGTATGTATATATTTTGTATATATATATATGTATGTGTGTGTGTGTACGTGTGTGTATGTGCATATATATATATATATATATATATATATATATATATATATATATTATATATATATATATATATATATATATATATATTTAAGCTCTGCTGCCTGTTTTATAGAGTATTCTACTGACGTAAGCTGTAACTAGGAGCTTTACTGTTAAATTGCTACAACTACAAAAATGTAGGTATACACCTAATCTTTTCCTCGCTAAAATATCATTATAGCACCACATGTTAAAAACAAATATGAAAATAAGACAGAATACGGCTATAGACCGGAATATAATAATCACTTTTGAACCTTATTCATGTTGACAAATGTAGAAAGGTATGAATGAGAATGAATATCTTCACAATACAAGAGATGTACTTGACCGGTTTCGAATATATCTTCGTCTGGAAACCGGTCAAATAATCTCTTGTATTGTGATATTTATTCTCATTCATATCTTTCTACAATAATTACGTTTATCAGCTGTAATGATTAACTGTCAAACTTTGATAAAACAGGCAACAAAGCTTAAATCGCTAATTAAAGAACAGCATAATTTTATGAGCTTAAACTCCATGATAAACTATCATTAGGAAAAGAGTGAGAGAGTGAGAGAGAGAAAGAAGGGGGAGGGGGAGAAAGGCAGACAAAAGAAAATAAAAACAAAGAAAGATGCATGGGATACGCAGTTTTCCTTTTCCTATCTTTCTTTTGTGGTATCTGATGATGAAGTAGATAAGAGCATTATCAATAAAATATGCTGATAAAAACTGCACCGCACCGCAAATTTCTTATCTATGACCATGTACTGAACGCGTTGGTACGATAAGTAAAATGTAAAAGAATAGGCAGATATCGCGAGCACTTATCTCCTACAGTATGTGTGTGGGTGTGTGTTTGTTTGTTTGCTTGTTTGTGTGTGTATGGATGTGTGTGTGTTTGTGTGTGTGTGTGTGTGTGGGGGGGGGGTTATGTGTGTGAACTTGGGTATGTAGATAGTAGATAACATAACACTGCGGGGATATTTCGCTATGCTGCACCAGCACAGTAGATACATCTCTGATTGTAAAAGTAACAGCCTGAACAGGTCGCGGTAACGGCTTGTCTGTGCACTCACTCGTGCCTCGGAGAACTTGCCGGTTGATTCGTCCTACACAAATTACCGAGAATTTGCGATAACACCTTTATATGAATGTTATTCACTGTTTCAATTGCACGTACGCTACTAGGTAAAAAAAAAAAAAAAAAAAAAAAAAAAAAACGCGGCGAATACTTTTCCCGACACGAACAGTAATACAGATTATTGAATATCAGTGATAATCAGTCACTTTTGCAAAGGACTTCGTGGCCTCGAAGTAGATTATCCGGTCCGTCTACGAATGCATCTACTACAAGCGATATCACGAGATTAAACGAGCCACGTTGTCCTGATCCTTCAAAATCAGTTCAATACACTGACGATTTGTGACAAAACTTCAATACTTCTCATCACATTCCAATCTCCTGCCCTCGCTTATGGACATTACCCAAAGCGCATTTAAAACAGGGATATGAGGTAAAACTTTATCCCCCCCCCCCCCAGATCCGCTCTCAGTCAGGGTTAATGCAACTTCGATTTCCATGTGGATTTTAAATCACAGACGTTGGATGGACAAACACGAAAGAGATGTTCTTACTGTGGTGTTCTGTGACGAAGTCTGATCTCACGCATCCGCAAGCAGCGAGGACAGGGGTTGCTGCCGTTTTTTTTTTTTTTTCTTTTGTCTTCTTCTTCTTCTTTCTTTCTTTCTTTTCTTCTAGCTTTCAAAATATTGCCCGCACTTTCCCTCCTCCGTTTAAAAGAGTTTTTCAGTTTCAGGTTCGGATCCTTCCCAACACCCCCTTAAAAAAAAAAAAGCTGATGAATAACCACACGAAAAAGATAATAATAGATGAGTGGTAATTCGTAGCGATGACGTCATTACCGCGGATGTCACAAACGTTTCGTTAACAAAGTCAGCGATAACAATTTGGGCAACAGTGCGTGAATATGGAAAAATACATATGTATATACAGTTGATACTAGTAAATGTGTATGTATAAATATGTATGTGCGTGTGTGTGTGTGTATAGGTATACGTACATGTATATACGTACATACATGTATATAGAGCACGTATGTATGTATTTATGTATGGATGTATATATGCACTGTATATATGTGCAGGCACGTACACACACACACACACGCACACACACAAACACACACACACACACACACACACACACACACACACACACACACACACACACACACACACACACACACACACACACACACACACACACACACACGCACACACACACACACAAACACATACATATACAGTACAAACATACATGTTCTGCACGCATAGATGACATATCCCGATAATTGGCCTCAATGACGTCCATACAATATTAATGAATGTGGT